GTGTACAAACCACTGATAAACAAAATCGGAAGTAATACCAAACACCCCAGCAAAATGAGGTATATAAATAACAAGCGGGACAGAGCACTGACACTTCACTGGAGGTGCACTGACGATGTTACCTAGCAGGGTGACGAAATGTTTGCAACCAAACCCACCAGCTGGGCAACCACGTCTACAACCTCATCCACAACCCGAGCTACAAATCTTCTCAAAAGCTTTATCCTTAGCTGGTCTGGCCTACATTTGACTCCAGACCCACAGCACTTTGGTCGACTCTTAACTGCCCTCTGGGCAAATAGGAATGGGTGAAAAATACTGCCATCACTGAAGATGCCCACCTCCTGTGGGTGAATAAAAGGAATATTTTAATTCTGTGTTTGTAAATCATTCAATCACCTGAAGGCTGAATAGGGCCTCAAAAGGTGTTGATTACCGTTGAAGCTAAACTAGTATGAGTCATCTCAGTTCACCTCAGCTCTATTTAAGAGAGGACCTGCTGAAATTACAAAATTAATAAGCTTCGCACAGTGAGGAAAGAGGGATCAATCACATCTGGAGTGAGACACAGCCCTAGTTAGTATATAGTTCAGTGACTTTGGAGGCAGCATGCGAATTTGATGCAGAGGAGAAAAGGTACATTTTTGCTTCTGTTTTTGACTTGTAGTTTGTAAGGTTTTTGTTTAACAAGATAAATTTGAATTGGGGGCCCAGCATGAAGTAAAGAGTGACGTCACAGGAAACTCGTAAAACTCCATTGGTTAGTAATAGCTGCTAATTTGATCATCTCCGGTAGGTTACTTTCACACTAAAGGTAAATAGGAGAAATATTTGCAGATGACACAAAGATAGGTGGAGGGACAGGTAGTGTTGAGCAAGTGGGAAGGCTGCAGGAAGGCTTGGACAGGCTAGGAGAGTCGGCAAATGACTGAAAGAGTGAAACATGAGAAAGTGAAGTTATACATTTTTGTACGATGAACAGAGACATACACTATTTTCTAAATGGGGAAAATCTTCAGAAATCTGAAGCACGAAGGGGCTTACGAGTCCCAGTTCAGGATTCTCTTAACGCTAACGTTCAGTATCATTTGGCAGTTAGGAAGGCAAATGCAATGTTAGCATTCATTTTGAGAGGGCTAGAATACAAGAGTGCAAATGTACTGCTGAGGCTGTATTAGGCTCTGCTTAGGCTGTGTTTGAAATATTGTGAGCAGTTTTGGACCCTGTATCTAAGGAAGGATGTGCTGGCATTGGAGTGGGTCCAGAGAAAGTTTACAAGAATGATCCTGTGGATGAAGGGCTTGTCATGTGAAGAGCGGTTAAGGACTCGAGGTCTGTACTTGATAGAGTTGAGAAGGATGAGGGAGGAGATCTCATTGAAACTTACAGAATGCTGTGAGGCCAGGATACTGTGGAAGTAGAAAAGATGTTTCCACTAGAATGAGAGACTAGGAGCTGAGGGCATAGCTTCAGTGTGAAGGGAGGATCATTTAGAACTGAAATGAGGAGGAATTTCTTCAGCCAGAGGGTGGTGTATCTGGGGAATTCATTGCCACAGAAAGCTGTGGAAGTCGTCATTTAGTATATTTAAGACAGAGATAGGTAGGTTCTTGATTAGTAAGAGGGTCAAAGGTTATGGGGAGAATGCAGCAAAATGGGGTTGAGAAACATTTCAGCCATGATTGAAAGGCAGAGCAAACTTGATGGGCCGAACAGCCTATTTCTGCTCCTATCCCTTAAGGTATTATGATCTAATTGGAACAGCAATTCTTCATCTGTATTATCTAAACCTATCATAAACTTAAATGCCTTCATCAAACTTCATCTGAATCCCCTTTGTCCCAAAGAGATTAACTTCAGTTTCTCCAACCCAACCTTAAACTTAAAGTCTGTTATTCCTTGAACTATCCTGGTAAATTTCTTCTGCATCCTCGCATCCTGTATGGATTACGCATACCAACAATTGCACAACGACATCACCCCACTTCTTGGGTATTTATTTCACTGTGATTTTTCTGATGTAATGCTTTTCATATCCATTGAGTTGCAGATTCCAGCAGGATTTTAAAATTGAAAACAATGAAAATGTTTCAGAATTGAGTCTTTTTAAATTAGTGCAGTCCATAGACCCTGAATTCAAAAAGGCTGGTCCTGCATTTGGAACTTTTTCCCAGAACCAGATCCAAATGAATAACTATCATTTTTGTTTTGCATGATGAGCTTAGTGATTCTCCCTCGAGCAGGAGAGAAAATGATTGTCTCATTGATTAGATTCTCAGTCTGTAGTCAGGAGCTGGAGCAATGAACCCAGGCAGAGGAGAATGAGGGAGAAAAGCTGGAGATGGGTTTTCAGCCCAGGGAGGAGGGAACAGTGTATGGGATGGGATTTACAAAGAAGACATAGAAACCAGAGTTGTGTATTTTGAATTTCTATTAGAGGTTAACAAGGATGACTTTTGTAATCTCCCTTTACAGTGTATTAGAAATATGCATTTATCATCAAGAAACTTGAATCCACAATCCATCAAGACCTGAATATATCAAACTTTGAATATGAAAAGAGAATTGTTTGCACCTTCTATCTGTGAAGAAAGATTTCAAAACATCAGCGTGACTGGAAACACAGATATACACACCCGAATGAGTGTTCTAACAGACTGACTGGAAAGAGCTTTAACCAGTTGCATTGTCTGAATTTTTAAAAAAAATCTCACAATTTAAAGCAAGGAGAGGCTGTATAGGTGTTCTGTATGTGGACAAAACTTCAACTGCTTGCGCAACTGGAGAGACGCCAAGACTCTGACATCATGGCAAAGCCATGGAAATGTGATGACTGTGGTAAAAGATTTGATTATCCATCTCTGCTGGAAAACCATCGGCGTGGTCACACTGGAGAGAAGCCATTCATTTGTTCTGTATGTGGGAAGGGATTTACTCAGACAACAAATCTCATGTCACACCAACGAACTCATACTGAGGAGAGGCCATTCAACTGCAGTCACTGTGGAAAGAGGTTCAGGTCTTCATTTAGCCTCAGTACACACCAGCGAGTTCACACTGGGGAGTGGCCATTCACCTGTGCATGTTGTGGGAAGGGATTCACCAAGTCCTCCAACCTGATGACTCATCAGCGAATTCACACAACAGAGAAGCCATTCTGCTGTGCCTCCTGTGGAAGGAGTTTCAGGCAGTCTGGCCATCTCATTGTACACCAGCGAGTTCACACTGGGGAAAAACCATTCAGGTGCTCTTCCTGTGGAAAACATTTTCGGCAGTCAAATGATCTCATTTCACATCAGCGAGTTCACACTGGGGAGAGACCATACAACTGTTCAGTGTGTGGAAAGGGATTCACTACATCCTCCAACCTGCTGATACACCAACGCACTCACACTGGGGAGAAGCCATTTACATGCTCCATGTGTGGGAAAGGATTCGCTCAGTCACGAGACCTGTTGAGACATCAGCAAGTTCACAAATGAGTGCAGACATTGGATTCTGCTGTCACTGCAGCTGTTCGTCACATTCAGGACTACTAGTCTAATTGTTTTTTTCTCTGCTTATGGTAAAAATTGCTGGAGTTTAAAATCCTTGATAAGTTGCTAATTTTTGGGGATGCAATATCTCTTTTTAAAAGACACCATCTGTCGTCTTTTCCTGAATTCAAGGGTTTCCAACAGGAACTCGATTACAGTCAAATTATGCAATTATTCATTCTAAATTTATATTTGGGTTAAGATCATTTCAGTGTCTGAAATGTTCCACTGATTAAATCTTCAATGAGAAAGTATTGATTAATCTTTGCTGACAATTCTTATTGACTCAAGCAATCTTCGTAGTGATACTTCCATTCTGAAATTAACATGAAACAAAATTGATGTTGATGTTTGGAAGTCACTGAGCTCAATCATTTGACACAGCAGCAGAAACATTTTGTAAAGACAGAACCCACAGCAAAGACTGGTCTTAAATCTGCTCAGCAAAGATGACATTTGTCATTGAGGAAAAAGAAGTACAAAACACATCGTTATAACAGCTAGAAGATTGTATCACTTGAAAGTAGCCAAGATAGACTGCAAAGGACAATGAGACAGTGAAAATGAACCTAGATCAATCCATATCATGAAATCCAAATTGCTATGACAATGGAAATCTACATCCTCTGTATCATGACGTCAAGAGGGTGCTTTATCCAACCATCACCAAAAAATGACTCCTAAAGTTGAAGATGATGACATACCAGCAGAAGTAAATAGATGACCTGCTGGGATGAACATGATATGAGCTGCACTCCAATGAGATAGACATCTCCTGGTCTCTATTTGATGCTCTCCCACAGCTTCCTGTCATGGTTAGGTTAGGTGAGGATGTCTTATCATTGGAGCTTGAAAAAATTTCTAATCCTGGAGAAAGGCACTTATGGAGGTTGGAATTCCAGCTCTAGCTACCCAAGCACATAAAGCCCCAGTTATTTCTCAAGTGGAACATCATGGGCTGACCCTCGATTCAAAAATGATGCCTACTTAGGTTTGTGTGTCTCTGCTGTTGTCCTTTGAGCAACTGAAGAGGCCAATTCTTGATGCACAGATCTTGGGTACTCATGGAACAGGGTGGATGGGGCCCTCCAACTGGCTGATAATGGTGTGATAATGTAGTTGGGGAATCAGAAAAGGTCAGAATAGGAGGAAAAGAGTTTTAAGGCTGGTGGAAGCACCAGAGACAGTCTGCCATAGGTGCGATGATTACATCCATGTTTCTGAAATCATTCAAATCAGGTCAGGACCATAGCTGAGCAGGGGATGCCTGCAGCCTTAAACAGGATCATAGACTGTATCTTACAACCCGTCACTGATCACCACGTTGTGGGGAATGATGTGACGTTGATTCAGGAGAGTGATGATGGAGAAAATAAATGTAGAAGTGGAACTCCATGTTCCAAAATGGTCCCACTTTATATTCATCAAGTCCCACAGCTGCCATCCCCAAGCATAGCCAACAGACTTTCCCCATTTCCCACTAATTGAGTCTCCCCTTCCTCCTATCTCTGTGCAATATTGTGCAGGATGCAGCAATTCACAATTATTCTGTAATCCCTGGCTGGTGAGAATCAAAGATACCCATCAGACCAATCCTGACACTGGAAACACATCTTCAACATTGCAATGGTTTTCTTGATGATACCCTAGATGAATTCGGCATGGTGGTTCAGTGGTTAGCACTGCTGCCTCACAGCACCAGGGACTGGGGTTCGATTTCACCCTCGGGTGACTGTCTGTATGGAGTTTGCACATTCTCCCCGTGTCTGCGGGTACTCTGGTTTCCTCCCACAGTCCAAAGATGTGTAGGCTAGATGGATTGGCCATGCTAAATTGTCCATAGTGTTCAGGGATGTGTAGATAGGGTGGGTTATAGGGGGATGGGTTTGGATGGGATGCTTCAAGGGTCGGTGTGGACTTGTTGGGCCAAAGGGTCTGTTTCCACACTGTAGGGATTCTATGATCTATGATCAATTCCCTCCCTGATGGCATTGTAGTTCTACCTAGAGTACATAGACAGCAGCAGTTCAAGAAGGCAGCTCACAAAGGCAATTTGGGATGAGCAATAAATGCCAGCCTCACCAGCTATGCCCATGTCCCACAAGTGAATTAAAGACAAAATTTGCGAGTGCAATGAAAGTAGTCATGTGTTCCTGTGCCTCATTGGTGTAGTTTCTCATAGGAGCTGAGTTTGAAAGAGTGTCACTGATCTCCAATGATACAGCCCTTAAATCTGGATCCTGAAATTAATATATCAAGAATGTTGGAATGACATAGTATGAATCCATCAGGGCAACACCCAGCATCTAGGAGAGCAATGCATACTGTTTTATATTCAGGATTTTGGGGTTGGGAGAATAATGTTCACTCTTTAGTATCGAGTTTTGGGGAGGATCATTCTCATTTTTATCTTAGGGTCTGGGGGAGAATATTCTGTTTTATATTGGTGTCTGGGGGATAATGTTCATTGTTTTATATTGTGAGCTGAGGGGGAATCCATGACTACATTAACCACACCATGTTGACAATTTTGAAGAATGTTTCACCTGATGTTTCCATGCATCTTTTTCCATTAATATTGTAGCTGATGAATTGGATTGCTGATGTTTTTCTAAAGGCAACTCTGTAGCATCAGTTTCCCCATAAAGCTTGCATTGTTGACTAAGGAGAGCTGTGCACCAACAGAAATCATGGATAGAGCCTTAGATTACAGGAAGATAAAGAAGAGCTGGTCAGAAGGCCTGATCAGTAACAAATGGAATTCAATCCGAATAAATGCAAAGTGATGTACTTGGGCAGGACAAACAAAGCAAGGGAATACTTTTGGGAAGCGCTGAAGATCAGAGGGAACTTGGTGTGCATGTCCACCAGTTCCTTAACGTAGTGGGACAGGTAGATAAAGTGATTAAGAAGACATAATTGGTTTTATTAGCAGACGATGAAAGATCAAAGAGGTTATGTTGAAACTGTATAAAAAAGTTAGTTAGACCACAGCTAGAGTATTGTGTGCAATTCTGGAATTCACCTCATAGGATAGCACAGGAGAGAGTGCAGAGAGGAGATTTGCCAGGATATTGCCTGGGCTGGAGAGGTTTTAGTTATGAAGAGATATTGGACAGACCGGGGTTGTTTTCTTTGGAGTTGAGGAGACTGAAATGGGCATAATTGAGATGCATAAAGTTATGAGGGGCATTGACAGGGAGAAATCTGGAATTAACTGCCTTAAAAGGAGGAAGATGCAGAAACCCTCATAACACTTAAGAAGGCATGCAAGAGTTTGGCCAAATATTGAGAAATGGGATTAGAATACTTAGGTGGTTGTTTTAGACTGGCACAGACTCAATGGCCTAAAGGACCTTTTTGTGTTCTATAGATCTCTATGATTCTTGACAGTGGAGATTATCTGAAGGAATGACTATATTGAAGGAAAGACAGTGGATGTTGTGTGGATGGATTATCAGAAGATGTTTGATAAGGTTTTGGGCAGCTTGTTTATTAAAAAGTTAAATGGAGAGGAGCAGCATGGATATGAAATTGGGTAAAGGAGAGAAAATGCAGTGGTTATTGGATAATCTTCAGATTGGAGTGATTTAGAAAGCGATGTTTCCCATTGGTCAGAGCTGGGCCCACTGCCCTTCTCCATAGCAAAAATGATGCAAAAAGATGCAAACCCCCAGCTGACTTCAAAAATGGGGAGTGTATGGAATTGTGAAAAAGACTAAATTACTGATTTATTTAATACACAGGTTAGTAAATGGGGCAGGTAGATGTCAAATTTAGCTTTCTCACAGAAATAAATATTAAAATTTACAGGTTAAAAGTGATACGGTGGTACAATGGTAACTATTTAAATGGTTAGAAGATTATAACAGTAAAGAGGTGGAAAGTTCTAACATTGCATCTTACTAAACAGCAGTTTTGAGAGTACACTTCACAACTTCAACTCCTTAATTAGGAATATAAGCACAGAAACAGAAAATAGAAGGAATAGGCCATTCAGCCCTTTAAGCACATTTAATGTATTCATGGTTGATCATCCAACTCAGTAATCTCTTCCACTTTAATCCCCGTACACATTGGTCACTTTAGTTTTAAAGACTCTCATCTCCTTCTTGAAAAGATTTAATGTTTTGGCTTGAACCATTTTCTGTGGCAGAGAATTCCACAGGCTAACTACTCTCAGGATAAGAAATTATCTCAGGCCTAAATGATCTCACCCATATCCTTAAACTGTGACCCCTGGTTCTGGACTCCCTGGTCATGGGGAACATGTTGATCAAATTCTTAGTTCTCAATTATATATTGATCCATGAATCAGATTATACCTGCATGCCCCATGAGTCCACTGTCACTTACACAAGGTGAGCATCTGAATGGAACCTCAGGTGCCCTGAACTTGGTCTCTGCTGTTTCCAGTTTCCACAAATCCCCTATATCAGTATCCACTCACTTTCATGCCCTGAAATGATCCATCTCTGGCCACTGACATTAATGGATATAAACATTACATTTTACAATCTAAACTATTCTATTTCTCATAAAAAACATAAATTGCTAGAAAAACACAGACTTTCAGGTCACAGAATATAGAAGAGGCTAATGGCCAGTGAAACCTGGCTTCACAAATGTCAAATGAAAATCCACAGTCTCTCTGACCTGAATTCAGTTTATTTTTGTTAGCAATATATATCATTCTAATGAGACGTCTGACCATTGCAACAATAAGTTTGAGTTAATTTCAGTTCTGAAGGACTGACACTGGTCCTGACATGTTAAGCCTGCTTTCTCTCCATAGATGTTACCTGACCTGCAATTTCTTTTCCAGTAATTTTGGTTTTCATTTTTGATTTCCAGCATCCACAGTTCTTTGGTTATTTTTATTCTATTTGTCACTGTGGTTTAAGTCTATTTGTGCTTCATAACAAACGCTGCCCTTTATCCTGATTTGAATTTTCAATTAGCTGATTCCAAGGAATGGGATGTCTTAACAGTGTTGACACTCACGGCACCACCAGGATGCTCCCTGGCTGTGCCAGCCAACCCACATCATTGCATGCTCCCCTCCCAATATTCTGCCTGAATTCCTGACAGGCCAAGTCTGCACTCCAGACACTATTGGGCCCAATTACAAATAGCCCTGGCTGCCCTCCTGATGACCCTCGGCCCAAATGCCAACAGCCCTAGGACACTCCTCTGACAGCCCCAGGCCCACTTGCCAAAGTGTATGACTTGGTGAGATAAGCAACTTTGTAACATAAAATGATAATACCAGCAATCCTTTCCAAAATGCAGGCACAATGTCAGAGTCAGTAGTCCATGCATAAGCAACTTGCCAACAGAAAATCTTAAGTTCCAATAATCCTTCCAAATGCCAACACATTTTTATAATGAGAAGTACATGTCAGAAAAGTGCATAACTCAGTGGGAAAAGGAATTTTCAGAAGAAAATCAAAACTTCCAGCAATTCCCTCCAAAATACCAGTACATTGTTTGAGTCAGCAGTACATATCAGTAAAGTCCATAATCCGATGAGATAAGTAACTTTGCAGCAGAAAATCAAACATTCCTGCAATTGCCTCCAAGTTATTGGCACATTGTCAGAAAAGTAGTACATGTTGGCACGGCACAGTGGCTCAGTGGTAGTACTGCTGTCTTACAGCACCAGGGACCCAGGTTTGACTCCCCTTGGGTGACTGTGGAGTTTGTACTTTCTCCCCGCATGGCTTTCCTCTGGGTGCTCCAATTTCCTCCCACAGTCCAAAGATGTGCAGGTTAGGTGGATTAGCCATGCTAAATTGCCCATAGTGTCTAGGGATTTGCAGGCTAGTTGGATTAGCCATTAGGTGAATGGTCTGCTTCCACACTGTAGGCATTCTGTGTAAGTAAAGTGCACAGCTTGGTAAGATAAGTACATTTGCACAAGAAAATCAAAACTTCTGACAATAATCTCCAAAATGCTGATACATTCTTAGGGTGATAATTACTAAAATAAGTGTATAACTTGATGAGAAAAGCAATTTTGCATTAAATAAAGTCAAACTTTCCTGCAGTCCTTTACAAAATGCAGGCACGTTGTTAGAAACAGTAGTTCATGGCATTGAAGTGCATAACTCAGTGATAAAAGGAACTTGCAGCAGAGAATCCTAAATTCTAGCAATCCTCAACAAATAATGATATCTTGAAAAGAGTCTACATTACAGAAGAGGTGGTGCTGGAGGTCTTAAAATGCATAAAAATAGATAAATCCCTGCTGGAACATTTAGTTTTCTATTGCAAAATTCATTATCACACCTAGTTCCACACTTTAATGGCAAGTATTACTGATTCTAATAATGTGTCAGCATTTTGAAGAGAATTGCGCAAACTTTTGCTACAAAGTTGCTTATCTCACTGAGTTATGTACTTTAGTCAGAGTCAGAGAGACACAGCATAGAAACAGTCCCTTAACCCCATCATGTCTATGCTGACTAACAAACACTGAACTTCACTAATCACATTTACTTGTACTTGGTCCATAGCCTAGCTAGAAGGTGCTAGCATTTTGGAGAGGATTGTCAGAAGTTATGAGTTTTGTGTGCAAAATTACTTGTCTTACTGAGTCGCACACTTTACTAGCATATACCATTGATTATAACAACCTGCCAGCATTTTGGGCAGGATTATTGGAATTGCTGATCATCTGCTGCAATGTTGCTTATCTCATGGAATCATGCATGTACATATGACTGA